TTTCTAATTTTATTTTTCTTGCGTTGGAAATGTTTTCAAGTTATTACAACTGGTCCTACAGGAAAGATGATGTATGTCCCATTTAAAACAATACAATTAAGATGATATGTAATGTAAAGAGTGAGCTGTTGTAACAATAATTTTTTTAAGCTAGAACAGCATAGTGCATAGGTAAGATTAAGTACCATGCCAGTACTCACAAAACAAACATTACTATTATAGCGCATAGTATGAACTGGGTTGTAAGTAATTTTCTGCAAGAACTGGAACACCAGGACTGGTAACAAGAGACAGTTTTTAACCATCTGGGGCATCTAATCCAAAGTAGTAGCAACCAGGTTAGTGCAATGATGTCCTCTTTTATTTCTACCCCAATGGGTACCCTTTCACCATATCCCTTCTCCTTCGAACTCACACCCCCTTAGACTATTTATATCGCCTTATCTCCTGTAAGTATTTATTAAGCGCAAACTACTCCCTTTATATGTGGCACACTACAAACAATAAGAACTGACCCATGCTGACTGGGAGCCTTAAAAATAAACAAGACAAGAAGAGGGGGGAGCACTAAACGAAACTCTGCTGGCTAATGCTCACAGAAATCAATTGCAGGTGGAATTCTAAATATCCTTTAAGTAAGTATGCCTTTCTTTAAGACCTAGACTACCTATGTGTATGGCAGAATTTGGGGGGGGGGGGGCGGGGACCGGGACCTCACCTCTCCCAAAGCTTCCCCGCCAAGGCAGATTCATCGATTGGCTATACATCACTACATAATACTTATCTGGCAGCCAAGAGCAAATGCATTCATATTTTCAGTTTCACAAGTCAAACTGTAGCTGCACAAAGCAATTAGTGGAACTAACCTTCTTCCAGGTGACTGTTGTGCTCCAGAAACATCTATTCCTCTTGTTTATGAGGAATAAATTTCAGGTCCTGTCGAAGATGAGGCACTGCAGTAAAGTCTGCAAGAAGTTGTAAACTACCCAATTCATGCCAAGTGCACCACAGTGGGATGTTACCTCTAAAAACAATAACAAAAACATAATGTTCATTTCCTCTCATAAGCAATTATGCAAGAAAGGGACTACACTTGAGCTGCTGCACACAACCTCATGGAACACTATGGCCTTATTTAGAAAAGAAATAGTCTCTTTACTAGCGCTAAGTCCTGTTGCTGAATGCTTTTTTTCCCCTCCTCCCATTCGTTTGCATACTTAATAAATAGATCTGACAAAGCATGCCTAAAAACAAACAAACAAACAAACAAACAAAACCCTCACAAATCAAGAATTGCATTTACAGTAGATGAACGATCAACACTTGGTTTGTACAAAGATACTTAAAAACAAAGCTAGCTGGATGAAAAGCTGCCATTAGAGGTGCTGATAGAGTGTCACTACCCAGAACATTCAGGCTGCAGCCAACTGTGTGTTGTGGGTTTTGGTGCAGAACTGCAGTTTAATTTAGCCATGAAAACTAGGCAAGAATTCTCACAGAGTTTTCTCCTTATTTCCTACACGCTTTCACTTATTAGAGACATCAATTTAAAATAATAGTTTTCTTAGCAAGACTGCACAACATACAGGTTTGTTAGTCTTAATCGTAAGGCATGAAGAAAGGCTCCTGGAATCAGGTAGCTACATCTTTACTGTAGCTTCCTGTGCCATCTTCCCAGCCTGGAACATCCTTTCCAGTATTATGTGGGTAAAAAAAGTGGAAGAAATTTTCAGTTAAACCCCCAACACAAGCCTACGCTTGAAAAAAAGCAAAGACAAAGAAAGAGCAGCATTCCAGACTAAGGAAGAACTTCTGTACGTCTCCATGGCGTTCCTAATATGAAAAGGAAAAGTAATAATGATAACTCACTGAATTATCTGCATTTGCCAAAGAGGTCTGTGAAAGCCAGCAGCGCTACAGAGATGTTCAGCTCTCAACCTATAAGCCAGAGCTACTGTCCTTAGATAATCAAAACCGAAGTCACACACAGACAAATCCCTGGCAGAGGTAAGACTGTCTCAGGCCTTGCTATATATTATTAAATTACTTGAAATCAGCTACACACGCTAACAAACATATCTAAACAAAAAGAAAGAGCGTTACTGAGCCTCACCCCGTTCCTAGAAGAGCATCTCATGAATAGCAGGTGAAACAAATCAGGCTGCACTGTAGCACCCATGGTCAAGGTCCCTTCCCCTTAAAAACACACAAGACAACAGAACAGCGTGCAGCCAAACGCAACCCGAGGGCGTGCTGAATTTTTGTTTAAAGACTCCCAGAGACTGCTGGAAGCGGAAGCAATGAAATGCTCGGATTTGGCCCCACGGCAGTGGTCCCAGGGCAGGAAGAGGTCCTGTCACCCAAATTAGCTCTTCAGCACTCAGAAGTCATATCCCTTGAGGCTCCCTCTGACTCAGTTTTGAGAAAGATCTTCCCAAAGGCTGAGTTCCTGTGCCCTCGTTTCATAGGGCAGAAGGCCCATGGCTTACCTCCCTTCTACAACGTTGCGTCTCAGCAGCCGTATTTCCAGGCAAGAAGGCAGGCTAGATTTAGCAGCAAGCAAGAAAGATTGGCTTTCCAGTGGTCTCAAACACACTTGCTGTTTGTTATCAGTCTGTGGCACATCCAAAGCCCACGGGAATGGAGAAATGGAAGAAACATGTCACTTTGCCCACAGGTGAGCCTACACAACTTACAAGACACTTGAATACCATTTAAAAATGGAGGAATTATCAGGAAGGATCGATGCTAATAAAACTCCAGCTGCAGCCTTACTGTGAAATCCATGACATGTTGCTCCAGCCTAGCAATGAAGAAATACTAAGTGCCATTGTGGTCAAACAATTTTTTCCTTTTTTATTTAAAATATCATTGTAACCAATTGACATACTAGATAACAATGTATACATTCCAGTGGTGCACATGTAATGACTTATGGCATGAATGATTAAAAAAACCACAATGTTCTCAGTAATGCCCCACCAACAGCTTATTTGGAGGGAATAAAGGAAAAGCAGAAAAAGGTGTCAAAGGTGGGGAAGAAAAAAAATTACAGTTTTTCCCAATATTTTTAATGGTGTGTCTTCCGCTTCATATTTCTTGGGACAAAACAAAATCAAGAATATACTTCAAAAGGGGCAGGAGGAATGATCACAATAACTAGGGTTTTTTTTTTTTCCTCGACTTCAGTAATAAAAGTTAAAGAACTCTCAAAAATAGACTAGATATTGGGCCTACAAAAGTAATTCATCTGTATGCAAAGCTTACCAAGAATTATTCCTTTTGTAAAATGTAAAGGATGAGCTGACATTACTAGTAAGCTATTTTTACCTACAAAACCAGACTACAATAATAAAATCACCAATTTACAGCTAACACAATATTCTAGATGTACATTATTGTACACGAGCTATATAATACACATGAACATCTTACGTGAAATATATAAGAAACATACTTACTGATATTGTCTCAACATTGGCCAATAGGTTTATTTTTCTAAAGGAAGTGTATTTTTTCTATTTCACATTCAGTGTAGTTCCAATAGCAAGGGTTAGCTTTGCTTACGTAAGAAACGTAGAAAGTTTGTGTGAGGTAGTTCGAGAAAACCTAGCTTAAATTTTTAACTGTGAAAGTGGAAACACCATGTGAAGTGATCTGATTCATAACGTGTTTCTGTAATGCAGAAAAATCTAAAGAAGAGGTGAAAGGAGAGAAAGATCACTTACATTATCACTTTTATCCAGTGCCCTTAACTAAAAATAAATCAAGTGAACTGAAAATTTGGACAGGCAGTCTCACCACGTTTTTCCATTAAAACCTTCTTTCTAATCGTAATGCAAAATGCAGACAACTCTGCTTCAACCCCAATCCTCAAACTAAATATGTAGGGCAAAGCAGCTGAACCAAACCATTAATAGGAAAAAAAAAATGTAAGAGCATGAACAAGCTGCTGTCAACAGCAAGTAAAAATGTATCTAGAAACAGTAATTCACTCTTCTCAGCGATACAATAGGATCAAGTATAAACTGGATCTTCTTTCCCACTTTGCCCATATGCTTAATTGACAAATGTTTAATCGCAGATGTTTTGGATTATCGTATGGGTAGGAAACTATCCACTTGTACTAGCTTTTTTGATGGTTTTTTCTTTATCCAGTGTCGAGATGAATGCCATATACATGAATGTAGGAGCATTGGAAACGCATGGAAATGCCTGTCAAGGTGCTTACTTTTTGCTTTCAGTATTTGCTAACTGAATAGCCTCTGCCTTTAAAGAGGCAATCTTCCATAAAACAAACCCTCAGGTCAGTAACATTCTTTTTTAACATTAAGCCAGTAGAGGGTGCCGTTGCCACAACCACCACAAACACATTCACTATATCCTAAGAAGTTTGTGTTTGCATGTGCGTTAATAGCCAATTTATGCTATTATTATATTTGTGTTTAGCAGGAATTCTTATCCAGAAGATGCCATTGCATACATGCAGTAAGGAGCCTCTAAACTAAAAACCAAAGCTGCACACTGCCTACATACGGAGAGGTGCTGTATCTATTCAGCTTAGCAGAATGAATGAAATGGAGCTGGGTGGTCAGGCCAGTCTCAGGCTGTTCAACTGCTCAGTACTGCTTTGGCCCAAACACGCAAACGCACACACAAGAAACTCAGATATGACCCTCCTGTCTTGGATCAACAAAAGACCTCACTGAGCAAAGGTGCAGCACACAGTAACAGTATTAACCTTTTCCTCTCTCCCTCAGTCTATTTAAAAATCTTGAAGTACCTACTTCTACCAAAGGGGAGGAGCAGCCTATTTTGTCTGTTTTGCCCTTGATGCCTGTCACAGCTGACCAGAGAAGGCGGGAATTAATCTTATTATTAATGCTCAACTGTTGACCTCAACTGGCATAGGAAATCAGACACAGCTCACTAATTCATTCACTACCAACTTCAATGGATTAGAGTGGCTCTAAAAGTAGGAAGCTGCATGCACTTTAGCAAAGTCTGTTGTTATGAAAATATCTTGGAATCACATAATAAAATAAAGCTCAATAATAATTTAAGAATAAAATTGTACAATGTATTAGATAGTATAATAGCAAACAAAAGAACAATAGATTAAGACAGCTGAACCCTAGCTACCTACCTACCTGTTTAGTATTTGTGACAGTGTACAACTGTTCCTGAAATCATTTCATATTTCAGCAAATAAAATGAGAAGTCAAGAATAGCCTATTGTTGTGATAACTTGGTTACTAGGAACCTAATCTGCTCGTCTTTGAACTTTGGCATCCCTTAATTTGCATAAAATAGAACAAACAGCAAAAAAAGTAACACTCCTAGGAAAATGGTGCCAAAAATGAACTACAGGTTCCAGCATGCAAAGCTCTGACCTTACTGATACAATCCCTTGTACTACCGCTCACTGCTTCACACCAAGGATGGCCCTGGAGAGCCCCACTCATTCATCAGTCCTACCTTAAACGGAAAAAAGCTCAATTCTCCTTACAGCTTATGCATCCAATGAAGTTGCTACTGCTAGCACACAGTGGTGAAAGACTAGACTCAACCTGTATGTTATAAGAAAAAAAGAACAGTATAACTGTTTCACTCAATATTCATTTTAAAGCATATTTTCTTTAGGGCACTGGAAAGCAATACCAACATGATTTTAAAGTATCAAAATATTTCAGTTACCACTGCAATCCAGAGGGGTCCAAAAATCAATTTAAATATGAATGATATTTACCAATTTTTGTTCTTAACAATATTTATAGGCATTAGAAGTAGATTCTGTCAGTATTAACTTAGCCACATTGGGTTAACCAGAATATCATTTGACTTTAATATAAACAATGAAGTACAATTTTTGTACGTCCAAAAATTCTGTCTTAATTCACAGCTTAAAATTTGATAAAAAGTTACAAAATAGACTGTTCTGTTGGTCTCTGTTCAACGTGAGCAGATTTTCTACGTTTCAGTGCTAAACGAATCCAAACACGTCCTGCCTATTCTGAGGTAATATACAATTTGGCAGGATCCTGTAAAAATAATTGCCTTAACAAACGTGGTTTAGAAAGGCAATATTGAAATATCGGATACAAGCGAGGAGAACAAGATTACACACACGTATCACTTACCAACAGTCTAGCCAGGCCAGGAATACAACTGTGCAGCTTATCAATTTAGTCATCTTTGAGACATTATCATTCCTTGTAACCCTGGGTTTTTTTTAAAAAGACATCTGTTAGATATTGAAAGCATTACTATGACTTATATCTTGCTGAAACATACTGTAAAGGCAGATTTTTCTCTTTCAGTAACAACCTCAAGAAGATATTCATTTTAGTCAACAAATTTGTGAGCAAACACAGTGAAGAGCATCGGTCATTCCTGGACGACCTCAACAGCCAGTCATATTATTTGCTTATGCTCTATGCCTGGCAAGACTTCTGTATTATTTTAGGCTCACTTATGTGAGTATCACTAATTTGAATTCCTCTTCATATTCTAATTCACTACACAAAATATGCATTTACACAAGGCAATCAATTATACAGCCTATAGCTTCACTAGAAATCTGCATTTTCTGAAGGAATAAATTCTGAATGATTGTTTAACTCATACATAACTTAAGTCGGTTATACATAAATCATTATGTAATTATAAAATGTAAACAGTTAAAATACTTCTGTGAGGAGCAGCACCATTTTACATGACTGTTTAGTAACTGTTCTACATATTTCAATATATCTTTTGTTTAAAAAGTGTATCGAAATCTGGAGCTTCAGTGCTGAAAACTACTGAATATTTATGACTTGAAATGAACCATTATTAAGATTTCTGCTACATTGGTCTCATGGTGAAGTGAAAGAGATAAATATTATTTTATATAGCACTATTTCCCTCTCCCTTTGGATGGCATATATTGCTCACTTAATGCATCAGCTACAGAAATCTTGCATCCTGAGGTTCTTCGACCACTTAATTGTTTTTAGCAATCAGTTACTTTTGGTGGAGAAAGAATGGCTGAAGTTTTGCCCCTATTGCATTCATATCACTCCTCCTTCTCCCCCAAAATGCACTCACCTTAATACAAACAAACTAACGAGAAACTGAACTCTCACATGCTACATGGAAGTATAGCCACAGCGTACTCATTTTCCCTGTTGGCAGTCTAGACGTCCTGGGTACACTTTGTTTTGTGTGTACAAAGACAGGCTACAGGCTAGAAGTAAACAGTTTATTTGCATTGCAATGTATTATTCATGAAGTATCCTCTCGTTTTATGGTGATCCTAAGATTTGGCATGCCACAATTCTGCAGAAAACATCATGTTCCTTTGTTAGGCTAGATGTTTCTGCAGCTTTGAAGATATGCTTTGCTTTCTTAAGTTCATAAAGCCATTCAGATGAGGTTAATTTGCAAAGAATTGTATATGGTTTCCCTAACAAAATTCACTAATTGCTGCTTTTACTGAAATATTATAGGCAAGCGGCCAAAATAAGAGGATTTTATTCACTGCCAGCACCACAGTAGTACACCCAAAAACTACAGCTGGCTACACTGAATTCTTTCCCCCTCCACCTGGATAAGGACATACGACCAAGCATAAAACTTTGAAGGATATCATGAACAAAACATCTGGAATAAATTCTAATTTAAAAAATTGAAAGCCTATAAAAATCTTAAATAATTCATGACATGATAATGACGACAACATTAACATGTGCTTTGATAAAACAAATCTTACAAATTCAGTAAAAAAAGATCAGCAGCATAACAGTAAAGCAAATATGCAGATTTTAAAACCACAATAAAAATTATCAGGTTTAATATTTTACAGAGTTAATTACAGCAAAAAAAGTGGCTGCTTTTAACACAACTTACAATTTTAAATTACAGCACTTTATGATGAATCCTACAATTATTTTTGAAAAAACACTCAAAAATACCACCAACTCTTAAAGGTGCCCTATCAATGACTAAAAGGACCCCACCCCTCCCTCCCCCCAAAAGACCAAGTAGTCATCTACAGCAACCCAAAGGTCCAGCTGATGTTTCTAGACTGCTGTCTGTATCAGAGGCCAATGTTGGATCTGTTGACATTGAAGACACATCATTTACAGATGAGGATGAAGATGGATGTTGAGAGCCATTGATCACTGCTGCACCTGTGCTATGAGAAACAAAACAGCAAATCAGTTGCAGATACAGTTGCATGGTTCAGTACTTGCATTAGTCTGTCTCCTCCTAATAGTCATTACTTTTCCCTGTTGATCAACAAGTCTGGAGAAACGTGTCTCAATCCATTGTCAAAATAAATACAATTCACAATTCTTTAATGTGGGGCTCAAGCCATGAATGGTATGTCAAGAATGACAGAACTCACAGGATACCTGTTCAATTAATATAAATGTTAATGGCTGAAGGCTAAAAATCACAAGCAGAAACAATACAGCATAAAGCCAGGGCCAAGATATCCTACCAAACGCTAACACCCAAAGCTAAAATATATCTACGTATTTCGGTAAAGAAAGAAGGGGCTTTTTTTTTTTTTTTCCAGGAGAGCCTCCCACTCAGGCTGGAAACTGACTGGTGCTCAGCCACATTGCTTACATCCAATTGGAGATATGCAGTGTTTTTCCAAGCTCTGGGCTTTTGTGAACTCTGAGTAGAGTCAGCAACAGTTGTCCAGCTCTTGCCACCATTTTTCCAACAGTGGGAAAGGAGTCCTGTCAATGGTCAGTCAATGTTCACATTTTGCTTCAAAATTCAGCAACAGTTTCTTTAAGTGCTTCATAATATTCCTTCTCGTTTAGAACGATTATTCAAGGCTGACAAGCTACAAGTCCTGTTTCATTATTTAACAGATGCAAGTAGTGGTTTTATCATTATGTGACACTGCACCAGCTACAAGTCACACATCTAACTAAGAACAACCAGAATATGCCAATAAAGTACTAGTATAGACCTGGATTCCCCATTCTTGGGGAATGAAATGAAGCGCCAGTTATGTGCGGACAATAATGGAGGAGATGACTAGATTAATAAAAAGAGATACTCCACAAAGTAATGTCAACTCCATTCATACCATTCAAATAAGCATGATCTCAAAGAGAATTCAAGAGCTTACAGGTCATTAAAGAGTCATACTTTGAGTTATATTATTCTTAGATGTCTCAGACAAATTTGCTGCCTCCTGACCTACAACTCAATGTAGCTTTTTGTACTGTGCTTTTATTGTAACCAACCTAAAGGGGCTGGTTGTCCACGTATAACCCCGTTCTTGGTTCTCTCCTCCAGGTCCATGACTTCCTTGTATATCAACTCTGAAATAAAGGGTAGGGAAGGTAGAAAAATGAAATTTGCAAACTCAAAACTCAATGGATAATCAGTCTCTTATTAAAACGTACATTTACATTTCATAGGCTTAATATCATTTGGAATTAGTTTTGAACAACATGCTACTGGCCACAGAAATACTGGAAAAAGAATGACTATAAAGTGATATAACAACGTACAGTTCTCTTCTGTTGGAGCTACGAGGGCCTTGCACTCTTAAGAATGCACTGACATTACTCAAAGTCTCTTTTGTCCAGACTGCTTGGGGACCTGAGGTGAAACCGAGTCATAATGACCAGTTATTATTAGTGGCTTCTTCTGTAGAGATGAACTAGATCAGCAATCTTCAAAGGAACAGGTAGACCACCAGGAACTTCATACGCTGACCGCACACTTAAGAGTCTTCCATTTAGCTAGCAGTAGTCTAACCTACATTGCCAAAACCTGCAGCCCTGTGAATTTATTGTAGCTGCACGTATACGGCTTTATTCCTTCAAGAACCGCTTGTGGAGAGCCAAACTCTTCCCAGATAGGATAAGGGGGACTCAACATACCTTCTCTAAGCAAGTCTTCTACCAGCCTGCAGTGTAAAATCTTCACCTAATAGGCAAGCTGTGCTTTTATAAGCTGTTTATAACAGCACCTCAAAAATCAGAGTTACCTACAAAGGTGATAGGTAATGTTTTGGAAAACAACTGTTTTGGAGAAGAGGTTTCTCAGCTCTGTCAATAATTCTTTCTTATCTCAAAAAACCATTCCACATACTACATCTATTACTTTTTCCACGAGGTAGCAGTCTGAATCTCTGAAAGAAATTCAAAATGTTTACAATTTGACCTGCCTTTTTCTTCTCAAAGATCTTTGCCCAAAGATGGTAACTGACTAAGATAGTCTTGGCAAGTGTCTGCTTCCTTAGGAGAGGCCAGACCACAAGGCACTGGAAAGACGGGAGCAAAAGTCAAAACAAACAAGCCTCAACAGCACTGCCATCCTCCAAACACACATTCACTACTAAATTTTCTCACTAACAACATCTAAAGGTACAGATCACCATGAAGTAGTATATAATTTTTGCATATGAGGAGACACTCTAAACGAACACAGCAACTGCATCCTCTAATTACAGAAGTTCCTCATCCTTTGTAACAAAGGTTACAAGCGCCACTAGAGCACTTTAACTTGAATCATATGCCTTGTGCACTGGTCAGAAGGTTTCTAAGCTAATGGCATCTTATTACCCAGAAGACTTCAGTTATGAACCTACAGAAGTAACAGTAGAAGAATAAAAAAAAAAAGTTAAACGCACTTCATAAGAACTGACTGCCAGACTACTACACTTCTCATGAGGCAAATGACTGTGATGTACAGACAGTTTGAAAGAAAAATTAAGAACTACAACTTTGAGGGCTTGTAGCAGCCTTGTGTCAAAAGTAAAACCCATATCGCTTGAAATACTTTCCCTTTCTTTTAGCAGTATAACTGTGTGTCTTCTGCTTCAAAAGGAAAATAACTTCACTTGGTAAGAGAATGGTGACAGAATTTCCACCATTTTCCCTATCTCTGCCTTTATAATTAAAATTCAGTCTCTAATAGGAAGTGATTTAAAAGCGTGGTAGTACTAGATTTTGCAGCCCTTGTGTCCAAAAGGACACCATCAGCTAATACAATGAAATTCTGTCAAAAATGATCTATGAAACATTTTCCCTACTTGTTTCCCTTTGGGGGAGAAAAGGCTATGCAGGCCTAATATCCTCTCCTAGACTTCTTCAGGATGATGTATTAGACTGCTCCGTGCACTACATTCTTGCTTAAATGCAACATTTATAGCCTGCACAGCTCTCTAGATACACCCCAACTCAATGTTACCACTAATCCTATTTAAAAGTCTTAAACCACTGGGAACTGAAGCATTTGAGACAGAGTAAGAAAACTACCTAAATAAAAAAAAAAAAAAAACTTGCTTATAAACTAACACAGCATGGTTATTGGCTAAAGGCACTGAAATATATATCAGAGAGAGGCTCTCAAGAACGAGCATGTGGCCCCACAGTGGAAAAGCCACACAGCTGCTCTGACCTCAGCGAAAAAAATGTAATTAGCAATTCAGGTATTTGTTCTGCCTTTCACTAAAGAATAACTAGCGCTAATTCTGGAACACACTAAATCCTCTGGTATGCTAAATTACACAATTAAGGACTGCAATAGTCCTTGGAAGGACCTTGGAAGGCATGCTTGCTATCTGCAGACATTTCTAAACAAACAAAACCAAAAAATCTTTTTTTTTTTCCAATGCTTAGCCAAACTATTACAGCAGGGGACAATAAAAAGCAATACGTTTTAGAGCTGGCTATGAAAACTTGCGCTCTTACAGTAGCTTGACCATGTACTTACACAGAGCTCTAACATAAAAACAGTATTTAATTTCTGAAGAACTATCATGTCATAAATTTACTATCTTCTGACTTGTCAGTAGCAACAAAGGAGAAAGCATATGATACAAATAATACACATACTAAAGCTCTCTCTATTAGAAGCAGAGATCTCATTTATCTTAAAAGTAATTTCCACATGTCTTTAAAGCAAGTCCAAGAGATACAGGAGGTTATTACAAGGTTAGGGATTACAATACATCAAAAGCTAACATCATGGTATCAATCAGATAACTGAAGTCAAAGGAGTATCAGCTCCTTAGGATACAGAAACTCTATTCCCACAAATTCTGTGAATAGACACCGGCACTTCAGAGGAAAAAAGGTGGGGGGAGGGGGGGGGAGAGAAAATCAGGAACAGAGACTCCTCAGAAGGCTTCAGAGTCTTTCACATAAGTATTCCAGAAAGAAAATATATTCTTTTGTCACCTGGTCTTAATGCACCACAGGAACAGCTAGCAAGCTTTTATGCTTGGGCTGGTATGGAGGTTTAATTTAAAGTAGTCTAGACTAACTCTGTCATGAGCAGGGAAGCTCCGTTTTCTCTTAGCACCAAGACCTCTGCAGCAACACCAAACCTTTGAGAAGCAATTTCAAAATCAAGCACAAAATCTTATGGATGTTCCCTTTATACTGCATAATTTTATAGCTCATGCATGACCAGGAAATACAGACACTAAAACAGTACTGAACATTCACGATCTTGCTCTTGGAGGTAGCAGTCCTATGTCATATGTATGGTCTGTTGCACATCTCAACCTCAGCTACTTTCCCAGGATCCCACAGGTGACAACCATGAGCACCTCTCACAGCAGCCATGGCCTCACCACCTCATCCCTTACTCACACCCCTCACAGCACCTGCCCTCAAATCCTTCTGTCTGCATTATGTTCAGTACAGTCACTGTTGGTATGCATGCCACTTGAAAACTAATGCTTCTACTTCAGGCCTGCACTGCTCAAACTCCTGAGTCTTTTTCAGCTATAGCAGTTTGTCCAGAAGAGCTACTACCCTCCTTAGAAATGCTGCCTTATGGTTTGCAAAAGGTGGGTAAAAGGAGCAGGTCTACAGCTGAGCTAGCTTAAATTCATTTGACAGAGGTTCAGCACCTTTACTGGGAAATTTTAAAGGGTCTGAAAAATCAAGAGGTTGGGAAGCACTGGTCTTCCTTCCTTGCCTTCCAAGTATTTTAAGTATATATTATTAGGCTGTTCAGCAGAATGTGAACAACAGTAATCCTTGGGCCCCAGCCTACTTTAAAAAGCCTTACTATACTTAAAATGTTATTCTTACCTTTCCATTCTTCTATCGTGTGCTCCCTCTCATCTAACTGCTTATCTGGTATTTTTGGTGGAGGCTGAAAAACAAAACTGACTCGTGATAAAGCAATTAAAAGGGATATGAAAAGAGAATTAAAAAAAATATAAATAAGGTCTTCAGAATATGAATCCAATTTAAAAATATGGTGTCTACCTATTCAAATGTTCTCTCATATGCTTATTTTCTAGATGCTGCTCCATGTTTTACACTTGCTCCAATTAGTACATTTGCTTACATTATCATAATAATTAAAACAGAAGCTGACCAGTCTGCTAAAATAGTTTGCCTGTGCCGCAGTCTCCAGCCCCAAACAACCCTTTACATAGGTTTACCGTTAATTACTAGATTTTCCCTTTAGATTTATAGATCAGCAGAATTCTGACAGTACCGTTTAAATCAAACATCTTTTTCCATTCTCAGTGGGCCATCACCTACTACCTTTCTCTTAAAAAAATAACAAGGCTTTTCTCAGCTTATTTCAATAATCCTGAAATGAGTTTTAGAGAAAAAAATTTAATTAATCCTCCTTTTTTTTAAATTAGTGTCAATAACTTAAACTCAAGATCTTGTACTCAGATTTTGCTGGAACACCTATTTTCTAGTTTACTGCATTTGCTACAACTAATGGAAGTATTTCTCTGGCCCAGAAGTAAACACCTCAGCATTTTATCAAGGGCAATCAACCCACACCGAAACAAGTAAAGCTTAATAAATTATACTTCTGCATCAGAGGTTTTAGATGCATTACTAAATGTCTAACAGGTTATATGCAATTCTACACGAATAAACACACACACACACGGATACAGGTACCTCAGCTGTCTGCAAGTTTGCACCCAGTTCTAATAAATACATCAATCAAAGTCAGTAAATATGATTACAGCTCAGTTAAGCATCTAATGAAATGTGTAGCTCAGGGAATAATCTTCTTTCAAGCAATTAAATCAAGCATCACAACTCTAAGTTTGCTTTAATACAGTACTTTACTAACTGGAGACCTAAAATAAGAACTTACAGCTTCTGCTTCTGATGGATCATACCAAACATTGATGTATGGGTGCTGCAGGGCTTCATCCACGGAGATTCTTTTAGATGCATCTATAACCAGCATTTTTGATAACAGATCCCTTGCTTGACTTGCTGCAAAAGTGAATTTTTCTATTTAGACTAGTGACATATGTGGGTAATGCTGTAGTTTAAAGCTCATGAGGAGAGATGATCTGTGGTAAACAAATCATGATTTAATATCTAGGCAACCCTCACATAATTTGGAGTTTAGGAACGTGGTCCATATCACAAAAGAAAAACCATACAAAATAGAATAAGATTTTGTGTATTCTATAGAAACACAATAAAAATTTCCATCAAAAATAGTTTCGCAGCAACTGTGCATAATCCTCCTACAAACAAGCAAGGACACACCAACCACACTATTCTTCATATTTACCAAGACTGGGACATAAATTCTAAATAGCAATTAAAAAAAGAAAAAAGGAGCTGGACACCTAATAAAAGAAAATAAGTTAGAAGACAGAATTAAAAAAAATAATAATAATAAGGAGATGGGGAGTAGCGGACACTGATAAAACCTCCTCCTATTAAGCTTTTTTCCTAGCTTCTCCTTTTCTTTCTCTGAACAACAGAGTACAGTAAGTGAGCACCAAATATTCCAATTTTTTAGGCAAACTTACTTGAAAAATATAAATGAGAGAAGGAAAAGGAATCTGCCTATCAAAGTTAAATTAGCAGATCTGAGTGTTAGGCATTTTCAGTCTGTTTGTTTTTAATTAAAATGTCGGTGCTGACAGTTTGGAAAACAAGTAATAGGTAAAGAAAGATTGACTGAAAGATGAGGTGGAGTAATTCCAGCTAGGAGAAACAAACCTTCATATGCCAGAAAAGGACAAGAAACAAAACTTAATAAAAGCAAGGGGAAAATATACAAATTAATACCTTGAAGACAAATACTGTGGATATAGACAGCTAAATGTAAGACTAGTAAGTCAGCTGGATGGGATAACATGCCACAGAGCCATCAAGTCATTCCGCTGCAACACCTGATCCTACAAAACTGCAGCTCCGGCACACGCTTATTCTAATTTGTTCGGTTCCTTTTTAGAAAGGGATAAAAGTAGTTCAAATTCATCCAAAAGCTAAAATTATCTCTAAGACGACCGAAAGTGATTGCACGAAGCAATATTGTTTCACCAGATTAGAAGCACAGCGATAACGATTTTGAAGTATTTGAATGATAAATGCTGAAGGAGGAAAGGATTGTTTATGATGATCCAAAAGCATCTATCAATCTGAGTATGCTTTCTATAAGCTTCTCAAGGTATGGCTGAAATTCCTATCCCATTAAATTCTGAAAAATTCAAAGGATACATTAGCATAGGCAAAAGATTTATATACGGCAGAGAGGGCAATCTTGGGGAAGGAGGAGGAAGGGATGGACACAGCCAGTGATATCTTTTCAATACATAATACCTAGTTTGATTAGAGAAAGGCATATTAAGGAAGCTGTATAAACTGCATCTGAGTAAAAACAGATACCCCTTGTGAACAGATACAGAAGCAGAATTTTTAATAATGGGTGATTTCATCTACATCTAACTTCCAAATAAATTCTCTGAGCTTAAATACAGAGATGGAAAGGCAAGTCCTAAACATCTGCAGCTTTTCATTTTCTTGCCATGAATTCTGCTGTGCTGCCAAGCAGGGTATTTGCCACGGTTTTAGCTGGGAAAGAAAACACATACGTCTCACCATGTTTTCAGCGTACACTGCCCCTTCTCAAATCTGCCAGAGGATATCACATCCTTACCTGAAACATAACTCTGCTGGCAGTGCAGCCTTGGCTGGAATAGCGGTGGGCAAGCACCTCCTGTCCCTCTATAAGTGTAAATTGTTTTTTTCCCCACATAAACTCTAGTTGTCAGCCACAGAATTCGTGGCAAGTTCGAGGACAGCCTATGGAGCAGCTGTCTTCTAGAAGCAGTAAGTCATTTCAGTAACTAAATGGTATCTATGTGTTACAAATATACCAACTTTATTTTCATCTCTGAAGAATGAAGATTGCTCTAGATAGGTTACTTCTAATCCATCCTTCCCCTGCTTTTCTCTGCCAAGTTGGTATCTGTCACTGAGAGGAACATGCGTACTTTTCTTTACAAAGGCACTGCCAGAACAGGAGCTGTTTCAGAGATGAGAAAGCGGAGGTAAGAATACCCCAGCAGCTCCATCCACTCCCATGATATAAATATTGTGACATTTAAACCCTTAGGGAGATGACTTTACAGTGGACAGAAACGAGCTATATTTTTGTTCAATACGACATGGTTTAAAAACTTTTGAAATGTATAACACACAAAAGACAGATCTTACCTTTAAGTTTATTGTGCTCAGAATCAGCTGGGAAAAGGACATCTGGAAAGAGTTTCTCAAAACTATATCCAGCGTACTTAGGTCTGTTCTCCACATAAGTTCGGACTGTTGGCTGTAATTTCTTCATAAATTCAGGGCAGGGTGTTCCTAGCTGCTCTATAACTTTATTCCATTGATCAATATCTAAGGTTATGCAGCTAAGAAAAACAGTGTCTACTATTCAGCTAAAAAGTTATGTTTAAAACATATGAAATATCCAACAGAGATAAAACATAGCAAATTATAATAAAAGACCAGATTCATCATCATTAAGTAGGACGACCTTCTTAAGGGAAAACAGTGAAACCAAGCAAGACTATGAAGAGTAATCAAGCCAACATGAATTTTACTCAAAATCATAAGAATTAGCTGGCAAAGGATATATTTCTGAGAAATGAAGTAAATGGAAAGACTTGCATAATTTATTTAATAAATTCAAAAAAAAATTTTTAAGGAATTCTGGAGAAACACTCACTTTTTGATCTAAACGTATATTACACAATAATCAAGCTATTAAACATCCTTAAGGCCGTTGAGAGAATTACCATGTATAGGTGCCTTGTCCTCGGTTCTAGCCCCGACACCTTAGCCGAGTTCTGGACTCTAACAAGTCAGTAACCTTACACTAACGACATGTAACGCAGAGTGCTGGGGGTCCATAAAGGCTGAAATCTTGTTCTCCGCAGGTCAAAGAGAAATTTATCAAAGATTTCAATGCAGATTTCAAGGATACATAACACACATTTGAAGTGATAAGTTTACAGAACTTGCAGAAGAATCCAATAGATGTTACTAAACATAAAAAAGCCTTGCTTGGCTCAGGAGTTCTTAGCTGCAGGTGGTTAGAAACTGGGGGAGAATGGGGTGAAATTTTAGATACGTTTATCTCACTCATGTACTCTTCCCAAGCGTCTCTTTTTGGCTACTGTCAAGGAGAAGATATTGGGCAGGCTAAACCTTTAGTGTGAGCCAGCAGGCCCTCTCTTACGTTCCTCTGGACTGGACAGTACACCTTTATATAAGGATTTTAAAGCGCTTCTACTGTGATTCAGCACACACTTGAAAAAAGTATTGCCATCGTATAACACTGAGGCTAAACTGAAACTCCATGCTAGCAAAGCAGATTTATAAAGCTAAGCACAGCACAACCAACGCAATGACAGAGCTGTGTGAAGGTAAGGATTCCTTGGATCTCCTCACTCTGCCTCAAAATCTTCACCTCTAAACTATAGTGCATCCAATATTAAGCAATCAACATGCAGCAAAAGCAGGAAAGATTTCTCATGGCATCTAACTGAAACTGGAGTCTAATTTTCAGTAAAACAAGTAAAATACCAAACTCCAATTATACACCCACTACTTTTTGTGAAGATCCAGAGGTTTCAGTTTTATTTGCATGCAAGAGATCCTGTGTTGGTAGTATTGTTAACATGATACAACCTACACAGATACAACCAAGTCATTCAGGGAACAGAAGCACAAAAGTGCCAGATATTTCTGAAAGGTGTTTACAGGATCATTTTTGCATACAAAAATATAGAACTCCAGACTGTAACCATTTAACTGGTTAGGTCGTCTATAAAACACACACACACACAAAAAACCTGCTAAAGCCCTCAGGTACCAAAAAGGATTAATAAATTATTACATAAAAATGAGCTTCAAAGCAAAAAAACCCAATTGATGTGAATCAGTAAAACACCACCTAAAAAAAAAAAAAAACAAACCTGTCTTAAATGTGACAACATCCAAAAGCAATGATAGACACTATATAAAATTGGGAAAATAAATAAATAAATAAAAGGAAAAAGGAAAAATAAGTCTGTTTGCCCACATGGTATTTTGTTCATCTTGCTAGAGTTTCTTAGTTGCACTCATCTCTAAAGATAGTAATACAAGTTAATGCTACCTGCATCGTTGTTTTGATTTCTGTGGTGTAACTGCAGTCATTGTTGCAACATCTTGGAATGAAAACCACAAACTTGCAAATCGCATTTTGAAAAGGCAGTTTAAAAACAATATTTTAAAAACTACCTTAACCTGGCACTAAATTGCTGCAGTATCTTTTGACCTCTTAAAACTACATCCTAGGCCAAAGGTAAGGATACGATCTGTACCAGGAAATAAAACACCACCTTTGATCATTTCTCCCATGATGCACCCAACTGACCAAATGTCAACTGAAAACAAAATGCAATGATATTAACATAAAAGATAGTTATTAAAATAAAGTAAATAAAAAACATCTAGAGACACACACACACACATGAAGTGATTATAAAAAGCGTGTGTAATGAAAATGAGTGAAGATGAATGTGTGCTAACTACAGGACCAGCAGAGACTATGTCCTACTGCTAGGTGCAGCCTGAATATAAATGAAGTTCTTACCTCAACAATTTTTTTTCTTTTTAAAGTGTATCACAAGAAAAATTCAGGCCCATTTAAGAAAAAGATTGTACAATGTGCATTTTCATGACAGAACATTAATAAAAAGGTTAATCACTTCCTAACTAATCAACCTGCTGCAGCAGCACAAGGATACAGTCCCTTCCTGGAAAGAGGATTTTGTGGCAAACCATTTCGCCCATAATGCACCCCACAGACCATAAATCCACTATGTTTGTAGCACAAAAAGAAGGAAAAGCAAAGCAAACAGTCATTTAAAATTAAAAGAAGCATAACATGATTGCATCCTATATATTGCAGAGACAGCACAGGAAGAAGAGTAAGTCTTTACACTAATCAACGAAACCGCCATATAAACACAGTATATACGGGTTAGCTTTTAACTGTCTCAAGTGAAAGGCAGAAAAAACAGCCTTTCGTTTAACATAGTGCTACAGCAAGAGCAGGGAGGGAGGGAGGGGGAGCGAGGGAGGGAGAGGGAGAGAGGGGGAGAGAGAGAAGCACATGAATCAAGCAGTGTAAAGCTCTTCAAGTTCTGCAGCTTGCAAAGCTAGTGCTGCCAATGAACTAAATTGGGGCAGCAAAGATAAGTACATTTCTTCAAAATAATTCCATTATAGTTGTAGGAATCATTTCAAAAATAGCAAACTAAACTGACCTTTAAAAATACAGCACATCTAAATAGCTTATGCTTTTAGGAACAGAATTAATTAGTTATTACACAAGGATAAAAATTTGCCATCAAGTATTTCCTAAAAGTC